CAGTCTGTGCGACTATTTATACTCTCTTGCCGACGTAGCTATCCGTTAAACCCACAATGCAAGTATCCTCGTCCTTTTCCCAGACTAATCCTTAAGCTACCTTCTAAAATGGTCTTCCTAAGATAAAACGATACGTTAGGTCCATGGCATTCGTCACATAGACATTTATTAAGACCTCAATCCTAGCGATGCTAACCACAAAATCTTCAATCATTCTTACAAACTTTTCTCGGTCGCCGTTAAAGTCTACGACGTCGTAAATGAACTTAGCTTTTCGCATATATTAAGATAGTCCCATCTCTTCAACTAGAGCGAGGGTCATTAGGTTAATCTCGGCTCCAATATTCAACAAGGAGTCTTCATATCGGCCTCTTATCTTTACGAGTAGGTAGGGGCACCCACTATAGTATAGCCTTAGGCGGATCGGGCGATCCACTAATGAGTTTATTTACACCGTACCGACTTTAGTAATAGATTCCCCTTTCGCTTACGTAAGTCTTACGCCGCTACCTCGCGAAGTATAGCTCTAATGGACGGGCTCTTACTTATCTTCGTCGTAATACCAATATTTACGGAAGAACTACTCGTCCCGAACCTCCTTTATCGATAGTAAGTCCCCCATCCGAATTAAGATCTCTTAGTTCAATAGATAGTTTACGATCTTTCCGGTACTATTTAGATCCTATAATAATACCTTTCGAAGAGACCCAGGCCTAGGCGGTCCGTACGTAGCCTCTTTTATAGTCCGGGAACGTAATAACACCTAACGAGGCTAAGAGGGCCCTAGTGAATCTCCCATTATAGTATCCTAGGAGGTCGGGTTACGTAACCGCTTATCCTATATATTATATAGAAAAATTCTCGACCTCTAATTAGTCGAGCTAATCGGACCTAGCGAATCATCTACGATCCCGTCATATATGATTTCTTCATTAGATCTCGCCCGTCGCGTTACATATCGTCTCGGTCCTTCTACCGAAGGTTCGTAAGCCCCAATCCGAGAGTATTTCGCTTACGTATGTCCGTCTTATTAGAGAGCTAGGCGCTTTCCCAGGACATCCACGTAAGCTTCACTCTAGGGCTAGTTCACACGAATTCCTTTTAGACCTATAGCATTCGAGATACGGAAATCATCTTTAGAGTCGTCTAGGGTAGCGTAATTAGATCTCGATCCGGCTACGTAAACGACACTTAATCTCGCTTCTAGTGGCGTAGAATCAGGGTCTCGTGTACTATAAGGCCATCCGGACGCAACTCCCGAATTCTTATCGATCTCTCGCGCAACCCATTCTAATCTTTCTATCTTTATCTCTCTCGTGGGAATTAGTAGAGTAGATAAAGAACGATCTTAACCTCGGAACTTTCTAAGAGCGATCCTATATTCCGAATTAAGATATAACGCTCCCATTACTTTCCAGTATACCCACTAAGGGTCATCTCGTAGTACGTGTCCCGGCTAATCATAAAGAAAGTAATTCCCTTTAGAATTACTCGAGTTCGAACCCCGTCGACTTAGCTATCTACCGTAGTACTACGGCGTTTCTCCGAATCGAACCGAACGATCCTAGGACTACTGTTCGCGCGAGAGCTAGATCGCTTCCTAAGGAACATCTTTCAATGCCTCAATTAATTAAGTTATAAAGTCTAAAGTAATAGCGTCTCGCGTCTAGATCGGTAGTGTTAGTGCTCCCATTAAACGGGATAATTCCTCCACCGATTAATCATTTCTCTTAGAGATAGAAGGTCGATTTACTAGCAACGAAGTATTCTTATCGAACTTCGTTTTACTATCTATACGGTCGTCACGACGACGTTATTCTTACGATTCTTCCTTTCGAACGGCTAAGGGTCGAGTCTCCCTTTCGTACGCCAGTTCTTAGAACTCCTCGTCGAGCACTCCTTACGTAAATTTCTTATTTTCATTGTTAATATTCTATAGTTCTTTTACCTAATTCTAGTATTTCTAAAAGTTCGAATTCTCCGGCTTTCGATTCATTAAATCCTATTTCTTTCGAATCTTATCTACATAGATCTTTAGTAATCCTAATAAAAGAAGGCGATAGTAAGTATAGTTAGTCTCGGCTCCGATTCTAATTAGGTGAGTCGTAGTCTTGCGGAATTAACGGAGATATAGCTCTAGGCTTTGAGACTTCTTCCGTCGATACTTCGCGAGTGCCTAAAGATATTGAACACTCATCATTCGCTACACTTCGTCCCGATCTTTATATTCATTTAAGACCTTCTCTTTAAACTTTTCCCACTCCATTACGTCATACTTAGCGAGCTCTTTACAGCGTTCTTTCTCTTCTTTAGACATAAAGCGAATAGACCTACGGATACGTTCTCCGCTTAACATAATCTAGTTATATTCACATAGTTCTTTAAACTCCTCGAAGAAAGAGATAGCGTTCTTTCTATTAAAGTATAGAAGATTATTACTTCCGTTTAAGCTCTAAGACATTTCTCTTATTAATATCACGGTAGGAGGGACGTACAACGATTGTACCGTCGAATCCGGCGTCGATAGATCTTATGAGCTAATACTCGACATCGTAGGAGGTCCTAGCTTTCCTTTACCATTCGATCCTCCCGTAGACGATATTTTCCTTTATTAAATTGTTCTCACTTCTTCTCTTATAATCGAAATAGTATAAAATCTTAATGACGAAACTAAAAGATCTAGATATTTTATTATTTTTAGCACTTTTATTATTGTTTTTTCTCTTCTTCTCTTTGTCTCTTCACCGACTTTCTCGTCGAGCTCCTTTCTTATCTCCACTAGCAATTTCCATTGAAATCCTAGATCTACTTCCCGGCCAGTAGCGCTCCAACTTCGCTTATTTCAGCGAGTCCAGTTTAACCGCTCATTTTTATCATTTCTTAAGTAGATCCGCGTTCTTCGACTCCTCCTAAACTTCTCAAGTCAGAAGTTTTCAGGGTTAAACGCATTCCCACATTCCTAGGAGATACTTCTCTCCCATTTCTTCTAGGCAGTCCAAATAGTCGTTAAGTCGTTAGTCTCCACCCTACATAGTGGCAGCAAATATACACAGCCAGTAATCCCAAAAGGCACCCCGAGTAGCGGTCTCCATGAACAGCCAGCGTAAACCGCTCCGTACAGCGGGACAGACTTACTTAGCCAGTGATCCAAATAATATACCCTGCGTAGCGGTTCTGCATATATGGCCAGTTTCTCTAGATTCAGTTAGACAGGTAGGTAGGCAGTTCTTCAGTTCTATTGGTCCAGTAAGCAGTTTAGTTTAGTTATTTTTCGTAATTTTCTCCCACCGCTCGTAGAGAGACATCCATCTATAAGTATTCGCCGAAGATCTTGTTGATGGCACCATTAAACTAGGGCGAGACTACTAGCCATAGGCATTAACTCGTACGACGGTGGGTATAGTCTCTTCTCAACGCGTACGCTCAACTAGAGGAAGTCCTCTCTGTTGGTAACTTAGTTACCTATGTTGTCTATGAAAGATAGTCCCCCAGAACTATATAAGAAGAACCATAGTCTAGGGTCGGCGCCCCAGCCAATCATAACTCTATCCACCACTTCCAACTTCTCCCATTACACTATCTATATATAGCTAAGAAAGGAATCGCCTTATATCTAGAAGAATTAAAAAGAATCGCTGCGCCTTATAAAGATCTTATGAAGAATCTCGAATAATTAATAAAGTAGTAAGAAGAAAGGTTCGAAACGATAAATTACTAGGTTTTATCTAGCTATTCCGACTATAAGACTATCGATGTCTCGAGTAGTGCTCTTCGGAGCGCCCTACTAGATTCTAGATATAACGAATAAATTAATTAGTCTTTCATCGATGCGGGAATTATAGTAAGCCGGAAAGAATTATATATAAGATGTATCATTATCTTAGGCGCCGCGTTCCTTTTCTAAATTAACTAATATAGGAACGTAAACGCACCGGTGAAATTTAAAGCCTAGGGAAACGTCGACGATAATATAAGACGGCTCATTATCTTTAACGACGACTTAATAAGTAAAGGGTATTATTGGCTAATCTTCATAGTCGATAGAACAACGTAGTCGTACTCGGTCATTAATTCGATATAAGGTAGATTAGATACGACTAAGATAACACTTAATTTCTTCGTTCGATAATTAAAGAATAGCGTTTTTAGTATTTCACCCCGGGAAATACGCCTTAAATCTAATCTTTAGTAGAACACTAGTAGTTATGGGCTCTAGGTAATTAAGAATTCTCTAGCGATTATTAATGCGGAAACTTACGAGACGGCTCGCTTATAAATGACCTTATCTAATACTTAAGTCGATATCGAGAATCGTTTCACTATCGCCCTAGAGATCTATAAGATGATTATGCGTAAACCGAAGCGTAGTGGAGATCTAGGGGCGTTAAAGGGCTCGAGTCCGAAGGGGTTAGATGAGAGATAATTAAATAACTTCGCAGAGCGTTTAAAGGACATAAAGAAGAATTAATGTTTCCGAGAAGGATAGGCGAAGATTATAGTTAAGTCTTAAGCGAGGTCGTCAAGGAAGCGAGCGACAATGGGAGGGATGTAATGGAAGAAGTTAGAAGTGATGGACAGAGTTATGATTGGCTGGGGCGCCGACCCTAGACTATGGTTCTTCTTATATAGTTCTGGGGGACTATCTTTTATATACAATACATAAGCAACTAAGTTACCAACAGAGAGGACTTCCCCTAGTTGAGTGTGCGCGTTGAGAAGAGACCATACCCACCGCCGTACGAGTTGATGCCCATGGCTAGTAGCCTCGCCCCAGTTCAACATGGACAACTTGGTATCAAGCATTCCAATGGGAGAACAACGTCCAGGAGGAAGGGATGGCCAACGTCGACTTCCAAATTAGAGTTCAACGGAAAACCTCTATCGAGGTCGTCAAACTAGAGAGTAAGTCCGTTCCGCAAGAAACGTTTAACAAAGCTATTTGCTGATGGGTTTATCTCGGCGTTCCCCACCCATTAGCTCAGTATCTCCCGTAGTCAAACATGGGTCCAAAGGAACGGAAGTTATTAAAAGCAGCAGGGCAAGGTGACCTGGCAGAGACAGATCGACTCGTGCAAGATGGGGCGAACCTAAGCACTATCAATGAGGATGGAGAATCAGCTCTGAGTCGGGCTGTCAACAAGAAGCACAACACCATTGCCAAACTCTTCCTTGAAAATGGAGCTACAACGGACTACACAGGCCCTCTCGTCAAAAGCCCGCTTCACATCGCCGTTCAAACAGGGAACGTCGGAATGGTAGAACTCTTACTGAATAGCGGTGCCGACATCGACGAGGTAAAGGACGTCGACTTAGTGCTGAGTCAAGCCATCAAGGCCAACCGGGACGATGTGATCTGTCTCCTTCTCTCCCGAGATACTGACGTGAATCTCTCCTGCAACGCATTCTCGTCGCCTTTGGGACATGCTCTCCGCCACAAGAATGAGCGCCTCGTTCAGATCCTGTTCAAATACGGCGCCGATAGGGATGTCGTACTTGACAGGGTGCTCGAGGCAGTTGTAAGGGCAGCGCCCGAATCCCTTGAAGGTCTTGTTCGCGATTGGCGAGCACAGGGATATGAAGAATTCGTCAAAACTATTCGGAGTCCACCTTCCGACATGGCAGAAAAAGAAAAGGTCCTCGCCGCCGCTCTGATATGCGCCTCGAAACGCTGCCAGCCAGAGAATCATTCCATATTTGTAGAGTTGGCGGAGGAGTTCAACATTGCGAGAAACAAAGCAGTATGAATAATGTGAATACCTAGGAATTCACAGCCAATTACGAATCTGAGTAGGTGTTGCCGCTAGGCACCAGGCTCCAGGAGATCTTCATCGGCCGTGCGCTTGAGATTTGTATTACCACGAAGAGGAGAGCCAGTACAGCCGAGGGAGCCCTTTTACCTAGAGGGACATCCGGACGGTCTACCTCCTACTCTGTAGAGCACAGCCAGCCTCCAGCGAACGGTGGAGGTGCCTGAGCTAGCCGATCATGCCCTGGTCTTGCTGCACACTGAAACAGAGTCTGGCCCGGCCTTCTCTTCGTGCCATGCCATCGCTACGCGATGCTTAGAACATCACCACTGCCTCACTTCTTGCTTTCGGCGACGACTCGATCGGGTCGAAGCGGATGAAAAGGGAGGTCACGTCTTGAGAAGAGAGAGTTAGCCAGGCGGCAGGCGAAGGTCTAAGAAGCACCTCTGGCAAAATAGCACGCATCGTGGCCACAAAAGCAAAGCACGGTACCCATGAGCTGGCTGGCAGCACCGTCCCTATTCCCCGTATTCCTGAAACTGCCCAGTGTTGCAGGCGGTGGTGACCTTGGGCAGATGAAGACGAGGATGTCAAACGTGCTGGGAGCTCGCTATGCCGGACCGCGATAAAACCACTCAGCCTCGCCCCATGTTCGCACTCGACTCGCTCATCTTTCACGCTTGCCGTGTGTTCTGACCTCCTTGTCCCTATGCCACGCCGGCCCAGACGTCGCCCTTCGAATAAGGACAATGCTTCGGCAAACACCGATGTCCCGCAGGTCACAGACCGCACCAGCAAGCAGTCTAGCCAAAGCGAGCAGTCTTTGCCAACGGCCACGAGGACACAGAGTGGATACCATCGCACTCTCGTTTGCGATATCGTCCATCAAAGCTCCACTGACCTTCTCGCTGAAAGTGATGAAGACGAGGACAATATCGTTTGAAATCCTACGGAAGGCCTAGGTCCCACTCTGTTTTCAGCCGTCAAATGCCGAACCCCAAGCTCGCCGGCCCAGGAGTGCACAACGTCTTCGCCGAAGAAGCAACCGGACCTGATCAAGGCTGACCAAGCGACCAAGAATGATGGTGTTGTTCTACAGTTGCTATGGAGCTGTAGCTAGGGGGACAAGAAAATCGAGCGACGTGGCAGAGTTTGGGTTAATCTAGAACTGGGTTGGCATCCTGGTTACTGAATGGAAACTGAGGGCATGCTCCGCTCACTAATGTTGAGCAAGTTAGTGGGTACACTAAATGGATTGTCGCCGGGTGTTTACTAGGCCGGAGTATATAACTACATATGTGCTAAGACTTATACCTCACACGTTGGACCTTAAAGGGAGCAATGGAAGCTGAAGGCGGCTGATGCAAGCGAGTGATATGCCATAGAAGTAGCCGACACATCGGTCTTCAGAGTTCTTGCACCTACTGGGGGAAGCTAAAAGAGACCCCAGGGTCACAGGGCGCAAACCCAGCAGGGACGGAATAACATAGGGTAAGAATGGCGCAGTTGATGTCGGAGGAACTAACGAAGACACTAGGCTGAATCTGCAAGTCTCTGTACGCAATGGCATAAAGGTCGTCGACGGCGCGACGACTAAACAGAGATATGAGAGAGTTCTGCACCTCTCAGTTCGTCTCAAGACAACAGCTTTGCGCCGGTTCCGACTCCTGCGGGATAGCCCGTCATGACTGTCGGCGGCAGCTCGGTTTCGGCAAGCGAGATCAGGTCATCAGTATCTTGGGTGTGAAGTTGAGTTCGGGATTCTGGTGCCACCTCCACCTTTGCTGGATCAGGGTAAGCCGTCGGTAATCTATCCACTGTCGCTCCGGCCTCTTGGATGAGTTCGGCGGGGCGAATTGGTAGCTCTGCGTGTTCAGAGAAAGGGGGAGGAAGCTCGTTGGCAGTTTCAACGCCGCTATGCGCAATAGAGGATACTGCGATGGCTTGTACATTGGCTGCGGCGATCAGGTGTTTCACGTCTTCAATAGTAAATAGAGCCGTTTCACTTGATAAACATATCAGCAAAGCATCTGAAACTTCCACACAGAAGCACGGTGTGAATCCCGTCTTCTTGCACCCTGAGGCCAGCTACCAGTGTGTCAAGCTGGCTCCGTCGCACCCAAAACTGGAAGCCCAGAAACTTATCGGCCTGAGCGAGTTTGTTCACGAGGCTTTCGAGCTCATTGAGGACGTATTTGCAGGCTGTTTCATCGAACGCGACTAGTATCGTGTTGTTTTGGCTACCCAACTGATGCGGCAGCCCTCAGAGTTGCTCTAGGAGCAGTCGCATTTTGATGGTTTCATTGAGGATATTCGTCAGTTCCAATATCGCCGTCTTCATCGTCTCGACGGTCTTTTTGATGACTTGCACTATTTGAATGCAAACTGTGATGAGTGCTACGGCACTGGTACTGATGGTTAGAGGATCCATGGGTCACAGCAGGGTTGTTTTTGCACAGCAGCAAAATCTCCTCACTGGGCCTTGAGGCATTTGAGATTTCACTTCGAGGTCGAGAAGCCGTGTAAAGAACTCCGTCGTAGGTGGGTGAAGTCGCAGCGCTGCAACCGGTTACGCAAACTACCCCGCAGCTGAAGTTGTATGTAGGGGTTGAGCCAGCCACCGACGAACCCGTACTGCGGGTGACCAAGTCTGAACTGCATAATACGAGGACGCTTCTTCGTGATCTGTGGTCTGTGGTCTGTGGTATGCCAGAGGTTGAGCTGCACTTGAGCCAAGAATTAGGACGGTGAGTGTCTTACAGATATCGGGGCTAGCGTCATTTGAGGTAGCTTGTGGACTATGATGACACACTATTCCCATAATAGTATCGCGCAGTCACATGCTCTGCCTGATCTGGGAAGTGAGTCGCGATCAACTTGTTTCGAACATGTTGGCTTCTTCTGCTTCTTCTGCTTTTTCCGCCATCGTCCAGGCATCCAAAGAAGCCACCTAGAAGATATCGGATTCCTCGGAGATGAATGCATGACAAAGTGTCATAGGTATCATTGGTTAATTAGAGGTGAGGAGCGCCCACCGCTAGGTATATGCCTTGGGGCGAAAACAGACCACCTGGCTTGAGTGTAAATCAAGACTCGAAACCCTCGAGAGGAGCCACTGACTTCATTCAAACATCTTTCCCATACTTCTCACCGCCGCCCAGCTTGCCACAACCATGATTGCCTCGTCCTGGCTCAAGCAGTCAATCATCACCGTCCTCTGCGTGCTGGGGATCCCCTCGTACCTCTCCGCACCTAAACCCATCTCAGTGCACCTTGAAGGACAGTCGAGCATCACTGTGCCCGCCAACCGGGCCATCGTCTCCCTGCGTATAAATGCCGAAGGGCCCAAGCAGGACAGGGTTGCCGATGAAGTCCGCAAAACCGCTGACGATGTCCTGGCCACACTCAGACCTCTCGCTCAGCTGCAACCGCCCCAGCTCACGACAGTCAATGCCACGACCGCCAATAGCGACATGCAATATCAGCCGCCCATCGTCGACCTCTCCGTGACCACCTTCCGCAGCTACTCGTGGCAAAAACCTGGCTCGCTGCTCTCCCGCGAGACGCCGCAGTATCAAGCGAGCGTCGAGATCGAGGCCGAGTTCCGAGACTTCGAACCCCTGGGAATCCTCTTGGCGCAAGTCTCCAAGACGCCGGCAGCAACGGTCCAGTCCCTGAAATGGACGCTCGACGACGTGACCAAGAAGAGGCTGTTTTCTAAATGCCGCTCCGAGGCCATGGTGGATGCCCTGGACAAAGTCCGCGCATACATCCGGCCCCTGGGCATGGACAAGGTCCGCGCCATCAAAGTCACCGAGAGCCATCGGAGGAGCCGACCTGTGGTGTGGGGGAACGTCGACGTGTTGCGGCTCCAGCATGATGAGCTGGACTACAATACGCAGATGGAGGAGCCGGAGATTGCGACAGAGAGATTTGGGCTGGAGCCGGGAACGTTGGAGATCGTCGCGCAGATTGAAGGTGAGTTCTGCGCCTGGAAGACCGGTCTGGAGGCCTGGTTTAGGCGAGGCGGCGTCTGAGACAATACCTACTATATCATATCATATCATACTATACTATACCACATCCTATGATATTGTTCGGGGCAGGCAGGCAGAGGCGATGTGTGATAATGCAAAGCGATGCAAAGGGTGCCATTCAGTTCTCAGAGCGTCGTCGTCAATTCTACTACGTGTCATCTAGAATGCCCAATGATTCTTTTCCTGCGAGAACCTTACCCCGTCCGTCTGACCAACCGGGGCCAGCGCCGTATTGTGGTGGTGGTGAGCACCCCATTTTCTTTGTGCTTTTCGCGTGATGTGGCATGTGATATGTGTTATGCAAACAATTTCTTTTCTCTAGAGGCTCGCTTGAACGCAACTCGGGTAAATCAACGCAGCTAAATACCATTTTCCGTAGACACAGACCGGGCCATTTCTCGCTCTCAATGCTCCTTCCTCCCATGGACGATATCCATCCAAGCTCGTTCACGCCATGGAGCTAGCTAGCTCTACGTCTCATTCCACAATCATGACAGACATAATATCCATATCGCGAGCGCAGGAGAGAAATATCCGCACTCAACTCATTCGCCACCCGACCCGTCACCAAGGGGATCATGGTCATGTTCATCCGTCCCGCCAACATCCATGCCTGCATCATCTTCAGAATCCGTGTCCTCGGCCTCTTCCCCGGGGATGCCTGGCCACTCGACATAGTCCCCCTCGATCCAGTGCTTGCTAATAGGCAAGTGGTATGGGTCATAGGGAAAATACCCTTCCAACATGCCATTATCACCGACCCAGCTCAAGTCCCGATCGGGGTTGCTAATGGTCAAATCAGACACGCTGCGCCAATGGCCGGTTACCCGCACATGTCTGTTCTCTTCGAGTTTTGGATATACATAGAACAATTGCAGCGCGTGCGTCAGCTTGGCAAATTGTTCAACTATGACTGGCGTGCAGACGCGCAAAGGATTGAGTGGTGAGTAGATTGCCGCCCGAAGTGTTTCGCGGAGTAACTCGGTGAAGTGGTACGACTCAACTTCTTCCTCGTCAGCGTCGAAATCTGATTCATCATCAGAATGGGCGGAAGCGATGTCCCGCCAGCGGAAGCAGAAGATGTACAGGATTGCTTGGAAGGCGGCATAGAAATCGCCGTAGCGTTTCAGGTCTGGGCCGCGACACGTGGGCTCGTAGGATTTCCGCAGGATGGTCAGATGGTCGCAGAGCAAGTCCAAGCAATCGTGCACCACCTGTGGGGAGACATGGGCGCCACGTCCGACGAAGCCTGAGAAATACGCTGCGGCGCTGTGCCGGAGGAGGTGCGGCTGCTTCTTGTCGACGAGAACAGCGACACAAGAAGTGACGAAGCGGTCGACGACGATGGGGTCGGCTTGAGCGAAGTGGAAGACCAAGAATTGTGGGTGACGGGCGCGGTATGTCGGAAGGATGAGAGTGTGGAATTGGGAAATGAGCTGCTCAATAGCGTTGTCGCGAGCTTGAAGCGCTGCAGATGTGGTGAGTTTGGCATAATATTGAAACAAAATGTCCATGATCAGGTCAACCTGTTTGATGTCTTCCTTCAGTTTGCGCCGACGTTCGGTGGCGGGATCGGTCTCTTCGTCTTCATCCATCTCGGATTCGTCGCTGGTGCTAATGTCGTCACTTTGATCATCAAAACCGTCGATAAGCATGTCCTGAGATGAGCGTGCAACCAATGGTTGCGAGGAGGACATGTGGCTGAGCAAGTCGTCTTCCGCATCCTCTTCGTCTTCATCCAGGTCAACCTGAACAGAGACGTCAAGCTTGATAAGCTCCCGCAATACACACGACAGGATGTCCGAAGTGAGCTCTGGCACGTATTTGATCATCTCCATGAAGTTTCGTATGTATGTCATGCGCTCATCCGCCTTTTGGAAATCAAATTGGAGGCGGGAAGCGACTCGATTGGCGAGAGCGGCAGGCGAGGAAGGAACATTGATGGTAATATGTTGAATGGCTTGCAGGACTCTTCGATGGATCTTTGGCTGCCTGACGGGCGCTGAGCTTTCAATTCGCCGTGTTCTTTGAGGTCCCAAAAGATCGACTAGGACCGACATGATCTTGTGCTGATAACCTCGTTGCGCGGCTGCCAGGTTGTTGAGGAATCTGACAAAAATCGCATAATATTGTTCGTCTCTCCCGACCCATTCACTGTTCAGGACTGCGTCGACCAAACCGCTGCAGTCTTTATCAAGGGACGTGACGTTGGCCAGGACAGCCTGAAGGTGGAATTTGAGCGCCTTTGTGGACGGGGCATTTGTTTTGTCAGGCGATGTACTGAAATAACCTTTCACCCGTTCATATGCTTCGTCTTCTCTGAACCGGTGTCTTTCAATCGCTCTCCGCACTTGCTCCTTGACGACCAGAGGATCGAGGTCCTCGTCATCGTCCGCAGACACAATCTCGACGTCGGAATCGAAAGTCACGCGAGAGCGTTTGGAGGGACTCGATGGTGTCTCCATAAAACTGGTCTCATCGATTGATCGCTTCAGGGTTGATCTCCGTTGTATGGGCTGAGGTCTCATGGTTTTTGAAGAAAGAGGATTCGAGATGCTGGTCGGTAGCATAGGCCGGCGGGCCAGGGGTGGCGCGGCTAACATGGCCGGACAGGCGGCTGCAGATGGTAATGCTCTTTCGAGTCATGGGCGTGCGTAAGGTGGTTGAACCAAGCAAATAGGTGATACATATGGCTGAGGCGAATATTGGAGTTCGAGTGACTAGGCCTTTGGCCCAGCGCAATTCGTTGGTGAACAATTGAGAGATTTGACACAAAAAATGTGTACTGGGTAGAAAATTCACATTGTGCGTGGCGAGTCTAGCCTTTTTTGGAATGCGGGGAGGCTGGTGAGCCGGACATGTCGGAGATAGCGTCCTTTTCACTCCCCCAGCCCTGGTGGCTTTCACACCTGAGTCACCGTCGACCAGTGAAGCAATCATAGTAACCCTCGATGAGCAATATATCGCGTATGGAGAAGAGAATGACTCCAAGTTTGTCATGCTACATCTTGCGAATCTTACAGGTAAGCACGTTGGCTGATCGCTTCCGTACCCCGAGTTTTTTCAAAATCCGAAGCAGCGTCCTTGCCGAACAGTTCAATGCGATGTCCCAGTGCTCGTCTCAAAATCCAATCCTGGCTGTTTATTCCTTCTTCCACTGCGTCCTTCTCCAATGGCGGAATCATCTCGCTCCCCTCCAAACGCTTCAGCAGCACATCATTCTCGGGTCGGTTGAAGTAAACCAGCGAGTATCTGGTGTGGTCTGCCTGCTCGCCCGGGGGAGAAACCACACGATGGATGTTAGACCTTAGAAGTCCGTTTGTGAATTTGACCATTGCATCTCCAAGATTGATGATGGCATGGTTTGGGAGGGGCTTTACGTAGCACCATTGTGCATTGCGTCCGGGTGGAAGGACCTGCAGACCTCCTAAACGATTGAAGAGGACTGTCACACTTCCAAAATCGGTGTGTTCACCCAATGCTGTTCGTCGGTCGTCCATAGGCTGTGGTGGAGCCTTGATGAAACGGACTTGATCTCCCGAATGGCCTTCAAGGCGATGCATATTCTGCAAGGTGTTTGGCGGCAGTTTCAGGTGGTCGTTAAGGAGTTCTAGGACCAGCGTAACTATGTTATGAGCTGATGACATAAACGATTTGAAGAGGGAGCGTCGTGAGCTGAGGACTTCCGGGGCAGGTAAGGGATCCATGATTCCAAAAATGTCATCTTTGGACACCTGCATGTGGTCAGGCACTTCCTAGTAGTTGCCACTCTGCTGTCACACTCACGTTGTAGAACTCATTGCGATCGAGATTACCATCTCGGTCAACAACATTGGCGCCAAAGCCTTTGTATCCAAAGTACGAGTTCTTTTTCTGGAAATCATACTTCTTTTTCTCTTCCAGCGGGAGCTCGAACAACTCTTCGCCGACTTTGAAAAGTTGATCTGCATCAGCAAGCAGAGAGTCCCCTGGACCAGCCAAGTCAAGATAAAAGAATCCGAGGTCCTCACAGGCCCGCACGAAACGGTTCACCTCTGCGGGATCTCGCTCGACTAGCTTGGCCAGACAGAGACGCAGGAGAGGTGCTGTTGGCACACCCTCCGGGAATGGTGGAGCATTGTCAAACGTTTGGGCTGGTGTGGACAGCGCTTCAGGGACTGCTTGAGTTGCCATTGTGATGCTTGGGTCTGTTTGTGCGTGAGTGAGATTAAACCGATAACTCGGCCCGGCTCAGCGGCAATGTACTCGATACTTATACAGACTTCGCTTTATGGCCGAGGCGCCTATCTCCACCTCCTCTCCGCGTTTGGTGGACCGCCATGACGACGCCCGCTGTGGGGAAGACAAATGCGATTGTACAAACAGTTCCGTTTTTGTTCAGGACTGAGCATCCCAATTGGCTGTTTAGCGCTGAGTAGTCCTAAGCGTGCCCTGAGGATCGTGAGCAGAACCTGGGCCTGTACTCAGTTGCTGACCCGAGCAGTCGGCTATAGGTTCAATCGATATTTCCTCATGAGAGACCCTTCTCAGAAAAAGCGACAGATTACTCGACTTCATAAAATGCTTGAAAGGCTTTATTTACTCAATTCCTCCAATGAGGGCTAAGAAATTTCTGTTGTGTGCTTCTTTTGAGGAATCCTCTGTTTTCAAAGCACTATTGACCAATTGTTAGGATTCCATACATTGAAACCCAATTTAGACTTCGTAGGAGGGGCGGAATTTACAATGCCAAGACTAACTAGTCTTTCATGAGGAAGGATTATATATGGTGAACATCAAATTTTGTTCGGAATTGTTGCTCGAAAATTCTCCGGGCTAAAATGGGAGGATGGCCGAGCGGTTATGGCGTGTGACTCAAGTTTACTACTTGGACTGAAAACCAGTCTTCTCATGGGTTTATCCCGCGTGGGTTCGAATCCCACTCCTCTCAATTATTTTTGTTTTCATTTTCTCTTTTTGGCGAGGCCGAATATAGCCAGAGCAGCTCGAAAGACGAGGCCAATTAAGCAGAGCAGTTTTTTGCACTTACGGTGTAGTGGGCTAGGAAGGGTCCCTTGTTTTGATCCAGCTTACAGTCCATCGTTCGGCATTCTCTCGGATATCGTGTCAGCTTGTTTGGCTCCAGCACGAAATTGACAGTATTGACTTCCTGAGGTTCGTCAACTTCAACCAACGCATTTGCCTAGGAAGTCACTCTGTGTTGGTGTCACGGTCATAGGCCGCTGAGACACTGTTCGGCAATTCTTGGGTCACCTTCTTGGGGTATTCCCGTGTTCACCCTGTCGAACAAAGACACCCGACGCAACTCCTGACCGAATCTTTGCCGAAAATTCTTTGCAAGCGCGGATGAATGTAGTCGAGCGAGAATGCTGAATTAGCCTTCAACTGTCAATCCTTTGGGGCTCATTTGCTGTGCTCTTTCTGACTTGTTTTCTCGCCTCCCTACAGGAGGAACCAGCTCGCGTGCGCCGTTTTCCCTGAGCGTTCCTCCACTCAATCGTTTCCCGTTGCTCACTAATGAATGGGTGGTCGATGACCTTGTAACAGACTTCCCATTCTAGGGTTGGACGGTCCGTCAGCTTGGGTTTGACATCCATGGAATCCTCCCATTCCACGGTCACGTTTAAGGTTGGAAAAACCGAGACTTGCCCCTCTTTTGTTAGTACTGGAATGGTATACCTCAACTTGCCAGGCGCCGCTTCTGCCAGAATGGACTGAAGCTTTGAACCTGTCTTCGGGAGCCTTTCGCACAGTCGTTGTGCATCAGACTCGGAATAAGGGCGAATACGAATCTGGGAGAGCGCTTCGGCATTTTCCGTCCGCACACGGATCCAGTACCGATGGTCCCAAAGCATCCACGCCGACCAGAGTCCCGTCTCCTTCCAGGCCGCTGAATCCGTATCTTTGTTCTCGACTTCGCCTGATCCTACAAAAGGAGAGAAGCCCCTTGATGCAAGGGCAACCTCGGCCAAACGCATTGGTGGTCGCGACAGCGTCCATACCGTCTCTCGTTCATCAGACAAGTCCTTGCCGAAATTCACCTCTCCTCTGAGTTCAAAGCTAGAGGCGACCGAATTCTTACTCGCATATGGCCTAGAATCTGCTTTCTCGAGTAAGACCTGCCGTATTGTCATCTGTTCTCGTATCCGAGACCGATTCTTGTCTATGAACTGTTTCAGATTATGCTGAGGTACGAGTGTCGGCTCGTCATCTTTCGACTGTGGACTCACCACGCTTGTGAGCCTCGCCAATGCATACGCTCCAGCTTCGGGATCAGCCTCGCACATAGGCACAAAAGCAGATGATAGTAGTACGGTCATGCGGCCAGACCGTAGATCGATGCTTAGTACCCTGAGTCCTCGAAGAATCTTGTCTCCTCGTCTGGCAAGGGAAGCAGCTGAACGCTGGGAGGATTTTCGAAGCTCGAGGATGGAGGGTGCCTGCAGGGCCTTTGGTAATACGTAATGGCTCCTCATATATCGCACAGCATTCCGGATGGTCAGCGTAGGATCATAGTTCGTCTTATCCTGGACATAGGTAACTCGATTCGTGTTGCAGAAGTCGAGGATTGCAGACTTTCTAAATGGCAACAGTGGTCGGTGGATCAGAAGCCCGCCTGGTAGCGAAGGGGTAACATTTTTCCCTCGGTTAATAGGCTCCGGGCTTATTTCCTCTTCATCTAAACGGATTTCGCCTGGACGGAGCCAGTCCGCAAATTTCTCGTAGTTCTCTGCTTCGTTTGCACCCCTAATGTCGTCGCAACAGGGTATTTTGCTATGCTCCGACATGCCTTGCCAGCCAAGAAAAGAGGTACCAGCATTCCGCACCAGACGCATCAGAATTGTTTCAACCTGGTCGTCTTGATGATGTCCCAGAAAGAGATGGTTGATATTTTTCTGAATCGCTGCATCCGCAATCAGCCGATAGCGAGCTCGCCGAGCCGTCATCTCGAAATCGGTGGTACTCCCCGGGTCATTGGTGTTAGGCCATTGTATCTCGAAGATCCTGCTTTCGACGCCTTGAAATCGTAAGTACCGTCCTTGCCCAGGGCTGGAGAAACATACCAAGCCGACATAACTGTGACCGAACCCAATGCGCTTCCTCAGTGCTCTCTTTGCGAGCATTGTGGTTGACAATGAAAGCGAACGGTTGGACGGCAATGTTGTGCTTTCCAGGCACTGCAGAAATCTGGTTGAGCAAGTAGGCCAATGCCATAGAGTCGGGGCCTCCACTGACACATACGCCTGGATCCATCAGAACAGAGACGGTGAAAAGATGGTAGAGCTTACCTATTGGTACTGGTCTCCTCAGATCCCGTTCAAGCCCTTGCTTTTCCCAGATTTCAGTGAAAGAACCGAGGAAACTTGAAAGGGTCAAAGGCTGCCCCACACTGGCTATTCGATTTGATACAACCCGAGCCATGAGAGGAAGAGACGGATCGATGTGACCCGGGTGAAATTTGATCGAGCCACGACAGCTCCGGCAGAAGAGCTAGCCTCGCAAAACCAAAAAAAAAAAAAAACTCCAAAACATCATCCTGAGTGTGGCGCATTGCTCACCCTGTCCATCCCAGAGACGTCAGAGAGGTCGACGGCAAGCAGCGCAAGCTACCGCAGATGTGGTGTTTGCGAAGAGGGTTGAGTGAGAATTTGGGCTCGTCAATCGACTAATTTGATAGCGCTTTCCCCTGGGGTCTGTGGCAACTCTTTACACGTGATATCACGTGGCATCAGGTGACAGGCCAAAGGCCGTGTGGGAGAAATTCACACATGAACAATAGTCTGCAGTTATTTGACTTCGGGGGAGAATTAGGAGGTGCTCGGTACTTTTTCTGCTGGTGCCTGGAGGGAATTTGACCATGTATCTCGTACTCGGTACGGAGTACCCAGTATTGTACTGTAAGCGACTGGCTCCACGAGAACTGGCGACGGAGAGATGTGGCGGTGCAGTGTGGCTGTATCCGTCTTTGTCCTCGTATCCCTTACTCCCTACCAGTCCTACTACTTACTGCTACTCGAACACGCTAACAACGGGAGTGCAGCGGTCCGAACACGCCCAAGTACCGAGGACACAGCCCTTCGCATCGACTTCGCATGGTGTTCGGGTCCCCTTCCTCTGCGAGGTAGCTATACCAGCTGACAGCAAGGAACCTTTGTGGCTGTCAATTCAAGCTTAACCCAAGAGGCGTCAAGCGTGACCAAGAATGTCCAAGAAGGCCCAAGCAATCACAGTTGGATTACGCCCAGCCGCCAATGGACAAACTAAGGCTTATGGCTCAAGACGGCTTCTTCCCTTCAAATCCAGCGGGATTCTCTCATTGTTACCTCTGCCTGATCAGTAGGCTCGCAGATTGTACCCAAAAGAGAGAGATGGGGACGGATTCCATCATCCCTGCTCCTACGAGTACAACAACAACCCTATTATGGCGGTGATGGGCAAAAAGCAATGACGCTGGATCGGCGACTGGATGATCCGCCCAGGAACGGAGGCCACACGGGATGCTGCGATAGGCCGGGAGCGAGCAGAGTGGTGGAGTTAGTGTGGCTTGCAGGGTGTGAGAGGGACCAGAAACACCAGAGAGACCGGGGGGAGAACAAAGTCATGATTTCATACATTCCCACCTCGCGAACATGGCCAAATAAACCCCTGGTTTGAAGATTGATTGTCTGATTGTCGGAACGCGCTGCGCGTTTGCTGCTGGTCCCAGGTGCTACTTAGACAAGTACCTCATGCTAGACCCTTCTCAGGAATGCTTTCATCCATTCATCTCTCCTCCGTCTCGCCAAGCAGCCGATGCTCTCACCGTCCCTTTTCAACTGGTCGGACGCCGTGGCTTTAATGCCCGATTCCCTGTTTTGCGTCCATCATCATCCTGCTTCTTCACCTTCAATTCCATCGCTTGTCACGCCATCGTTGCTGTTGTGTTTTCGCTGCTGATTTGAGGCTGTGCAGCCCGTTGGCAATCGACCACGTATTTTAAAGGCCGGGTCCGACACCACATTCCGTCTACCGTGACCCATTCACTCGCCACACTATTGTATCATAAACAACTCGGTGGCATCCTATGACAGCCACAGGGTCGCAATTCCAGACAACTGAGATATTCTTCTGTTAAGCGTCCGAGGTTGAGGTTCTGAACAATGCGTGAGTGAACTTGCAACGCCTCCCTTTCGCGTGCCGTATTCTGACCAGGGCGCAGACAAGTTTCGGCACCAGGCAAAAGTGGCTGCGTGGTACAACGATCCCAATGATGAATCCAATTTGCCCATCAAGAATCCCTTTGCGAAATGGAAACCCAATTCCAGGTCGAATTCGCTGCGTCGCATTGAGAATGGCGAAGGCAGCGGCTCACCCTTGACCACTACCAAAACAGATGACCCAAACAACTACCGCCCTTCTTCCTCAAGAGCGAGAGGCGCAGACTTCGGCGCACATTCGACAAAGAAACACGCAGCGACCACCCCAAACGCCACATCGGCCAGAGAGCCATGTTCGCCTGGTGACGATGTCGAATTGCCGCGATCTCTGAGTCCAGTTCACTCGGAGAGAGGTCTCAGAGACGAGTTCCCCAATGGGCCCAACGAAGACGGCATGAGCAGCGATACTTACACAATTGGCAAGCCTGGTCAAACAGACGAAGCAGGTTCCGTGCGGAACCGTAGCTCGGGTGATAAAAACCCAGAGAAGCACGGTCTCCAGGCCCTGTTCAGCGGCGAGTCCAAACAAGAGAAGGACGACAACAACGGTAAAGACAAACCTCAGTTTACCGCATGGAGCCAAATCCGGGCCACACTCTTCAATTCGTGGATCAATGTTCTTCTCATTGCATCCCCTGTCGGCATTGCCGTCTACTACGCCAAGGTCGATCCTGTCGCAGTGTTTGTCATCAACTTCATCGCTATCATCCCGCTGGCAGCCATGCTGAGCTATGCCACCGAGGAGATTGCCCTGAGAACCGGCGAGGTTCTTGGGGGACTACTCAACGCCTCCTTCGGCAACGCAGTCGAGTTGATTGTTTCCATCATCGCCTTGGCCAAAGACCAGGTTTTGATCGTCCAAACTTCCCTGATTGGCAGTATGCTCTCCAATCTTCTGTTGGTCATGGGCATGTGCTTTTTCTTCGGTGGAGTCAATCGCGTTGAGCAAGCGTTCAACATTACAGTGGCTCAAACTGCTTCCAGCTTGCTCTTTTTAGCAGTCAGCAGCTTAATTATTCCCACCGCGTTTGAGCAATGGGCTCGGACCGGAAATAATACTGGTAACACGGAAACCGCGACTACCGAGAATGCCAAACCTGGAGTGGCACAACTGAGCAGAGGAACGGCCATTCTTCTCCTTATTGTCTATGCCTGCTATCTCTTTTTCCAGCTTAAGAGTCACTCGGCAATCTACAACGCACCCAGTGCGAAGAATGAGACACGAGATGTGGGCACCAAGTTCAAGAATGCGGTCATTCCCGAAAAGCTGCGCTCTAAGAAGGCACCAGAAGCTGAGATGTTGGACCCGGAAGATGACGAGACTGAGCAGCCCCAACTCTCTATATGGGTTGCTGTGCTTACACTGGCAATCTCCACTGTCCTTGTCGCACTCAATGCCGAGTACTTGGTCGATTCAATCAACTCCATCACCTGTGGCGGCGGCATCTCCAAAAACTTTGTCGGTCTCATATTGCTCCCTATTGTTGGTAACGCCGCCGAACACGCAACTGCGGTAACGGTGGCTGTCAAGGACAAGATGGACTTGGCCATCGGTGTTGCCGTGGGATCCAGCATGCAAATTGCGCTGCTTGTGCTTCCATTTGTTGTTGTTTTGGGCTGGATCATTGGTAAAGACGACATGACTCTATTCTTTGACGGCTTCCAAATCGCCGTATTATTTGTGGCCGTCTTGCTTGTCAACTACTTGATAAGCGACGGCAAATCACACTACCTCGAGGGTATCTTACTGATGACTCTCTACATCATCATTGCAGTCGCCGCCTGGTTCTATCCTACCGCCCCTGGCCTCAGCGACTGCCCGGCTGGCTCATGATTGCTCTCCTTTGTACACTATTCCCACCTTGTTAAACTGACTTCGGGAGCGAGCCAACCAATAACAGTTCGGCACGGGATGTCAACGAGACTTGGTGGTTTGATTTTCTCAAAAACCACTTCATACATCTTCTAATCAAACTCATCAACGTCGCCATGTCCTCCCAATTGGAACATTACAATGACGGCTCAACAAGCGGTCCCAACTCCACACATCAAGTCGCTATACTTTTTAGCGACGGTCTCAAAACCCTCCAGCACCTCGAACCGCAGCTTCCTGGTGAATGACGCGTCGAAACGCGACTGTCAGCCTCTCCAAGAGCAAACGCGCCAACCCACTCATCCACTAAGCGGAGACGTCGTCACCACCGCTCGATCCGTGAACCTGCTCGGCAGAACAAAGCTCAACCAATCTCTTAACGAAGCACTTACGCGGCAGCCATTGATGGGCCATCTCCACCACCGCGTAGAGAGACACAGGCGCGGATTCTTCAGCTCCGAGAGTCCCCAAGGAAGATTTTTGAAAAGATTTGAACTTCCAGCAATGTCTCTTGTGCTCAGAAGATATTTTCCATGGTGAAGAGCACTCGGGTACACGTCTTGTTGCGAGAGCCATTGAAGACAGAAGCATTGAAGCTGATATGACGTTGACACTTTGGATACGTTATGGCACGCAAGTCTCCACTTGCCTGTCAGCAGCCTCGAATGGGCATTTTCGTTTCAGGGGGGAGGACTGGGGACTACGACCATAGAATACAAGTGCAAATCTGGGCTAGTATTTTGATCCTTGGAACACGGGTAATGACGAAAGGCACGGCTTGCGTCACAAATAACGTCGTCCATTTTTTGTGATGCTTTTACCTCCTGCTTTTTTCTTTTATTTCTCCTTTGAAAGTTCCGTAGCACAGGTCTGTCTGGTCTCCTGGGCTTTCCAGGGGAAAAGGGTGTTCAGCCCTGTCTGCCAGCACCATGCTGTGGGATTACCAGGCCTACCGTGAGCACAACCTGGAAATTTCATGAGACCTCGGCAATTGCTACGCTTCTCAGCTTACATACCTACTGGGTACTACGCATGCGACCACGACACCCCTCAATCAACCAACGGATTAGTTTTTGATGATGATTTGCAGTCACCTACTCGGCGGAACCAGCGGAGCATTGGTTTCCCCCCTTGCCGCTATTCGTCAGAGACTCGTCAGAGGAGCAAGCTTACTAGGTTTAGCATCTTTTTAAACGCGCCGCTTACCCAGCCCTCACAGCCTCGCGTTTTCCCTACATCTTGCTTTTCAATTGAGAATTTTGGCTAGACTAAAAAAAAGCCCTCCCCGCCTCTTTGGATAGTGGTAAGATAGGTAATAATAAAATCAAACGTGGACAACGAATCCTGTGTCCAATGGTGAGTCCCGGCGGCAACAAAACAACCCTAGCAAGATATCTCTTCACCCGCCTTCGCCAGTCCGGTGTGCACGCCATCCATGGCGTCCCGGGCGACTTTACTCTCAAGGCGCTTGACTACCTTCCCCAAGCCGGGGTGAAATGGATTGGCACCTGCAACGAGCTGAACGCCGGCTACGCCGCGGATGGATATGCGCGGGTGCGCGGGCTCGGCGCCCTGCTCACCACGTATGGCGTCGGCGAGCTGAGCGCCATCAATGCCGTCGCGGGCAGCTTCAGTGAACATGTCCCCGTGGTGTCGATCGTGGGGACCCCGCAACGGCGGCTGCAGCATGAGAGGAAGAACGTCCACCATACCCTCGGCGATGGCCGACCGAGAGTGTTTGCGGAGATCGCCAGGCATGTTACGGTCGCGCAAGCCAATCTTGTTGATGAAGCCACCGCGCCGAGAGAGATTGATATGACGATCGAGACCGCGCTGAGGGAGAGCAGGCCGGTGTATATTGAGCTGCCAGCGGATATGGTGGGGAAGGAGGTCGACGGGGAGAGGCTGGAGCAGCCGCTTAACACGGACAGATCGAGTAGTGGCGACGAGAACCGCGATGACGCACTCGTTGATGATCTGTTGCAAAGGATATATTCCGCGAAACAGCCGTTACTGCTCGTCGACAGTGGCGGCGGCGTCCGGCAACTGCGGCCCGAAATCAACGACTTTGTCAAGGCGTCTGGGATTCCTACTCTCTGCATGCCCTCTGGAAACGGCATGGTCGAGCATTCGCTCCAGAACTACTACGGCGTCCACTCCGGCCCCGTGGGACAGATCGACACGATGCCGTATGTACAGGGAGCAGATCTGGTGATAGCCTTTGGGCCAATGTTCTCCGACACGCAGACGCTGTCGTGGAAGGTCGTGCCGGACGCAGCGAGGACGATCACGCTGGAGAAGAACTCCATCCACGATCCGGCCCAGCCCACAAATGGCGGGACGAAGAGGGATATCGATCTGAAGCGACTTCTTGCCCGGTTGACGCGGCGGATTGATCGCTCGGGCGTCACCTCGCCCGATGTGACATCCTTGGGCAATTTTCGAACAATCCAGGCGCCTGCTTTCAGACAAGCCAGCGTCGACCTCGACGCACCTATCGACCAGACATCTTTCTACCTCCGCCTCAGCGCATACCTTCGCCCCTACGACAACGTGGTCCTTGGCAATGCAACCCCGATTCTCGGCGGTCGCGACCTGGTCCTCCCTCACGGAGCGCAGATCACTGCTTCAGGTCAGTGGTTCTCCATAGGCCACATGCTCCCTCTCACAATGGGTGCGAGCTTAGCCCGGCAAAGACAACAACAAGAACGACCCCCAGGATGGAAAGGTGGGGTTGGAAGAACCATCCTCCTCGATGGCGACGGCGGGTTCCAAGTCACCGCCCAGGAACTGGGGACCATGATCCGCTACAGGATCCCTGTGACCATCTTCCTCATCAACAATGCCGGATACGCCTACGAGAGACAGATCCACGGTATGCACGAGGACTACAACGACCTGGCGCCCTGGCGGTATCAAGAGCTGGCCCGGACGTTTGGGGCAAGCGAGGCACAGCTGCTTTCCCCAACCACACCGCAACGATCGTCGTCCTCCGAAGCAATTGCCGCTGATGACGACTATCCCGTACGAAGCTACGAGATCTCGACGTGGCGGCATCTCGATCGGTTGCTTGCTGACGAGCAGTTTTGCGAGGGTCGAGGGCTGCACTTTGTCGACGTCAGGATGGGCAAGTTTGATGTGCCTGAGAAATTCAAGGTCGTTTTTCAGAGGGCCGGGGAGTCGTTGGGTTAGATCTTGCATCCGTAGAAACATGCCGCCAGTCGTGGCTTTGAGGGTAGGTGGCCATAAGATCATTATCGACGCCGTGGGGTCTGGAAAAAGCATCCACTATGGGAACTATCCCTCACATCATGCGCGAGGCTCGTCTTGGGGATGAGACAGGACAGGAGAGACAGTCTCAAAGAAGAATATAACTGGTTCCACTCAATGTGCACAAGAGGGATTATGTATCAAGGTAACCCCGAGGGAATGTCTTCATGTACATGGGACGAGGAGTAGTCGAGAAGCGGCGAAGCGCAAGGCGCTGGCACTTGTAGATTGGTCTTGTTGTGAAGGGGTGCTGATCGACGTGTAAGATGGACGCCCGTGTCAGAGATGACAAACATGGAGGTAGAAGGCAAGGGGGCCCAATGGAGGCTGTTGTTGCTGCCGCCGTAATCGCACAAGGGACAATGCTAGGCCTAGCAGTAAATGGCAAAGAAAGACTGCTGCTGAGACTGAGATCGCTGGATTCGAGAAACAGGGAGACAGGAGGCTTTAAAAAAGCAATGCTCACTACGTAGTCAGTGGCCATGCCTGCTTCTGCGCCAACTTCAGCTTCAACTCTGCAGCGAAGCGTAGCCGCTCATTGCCGATAGTGTCTCTGCACGCATCCCGAAAACTGTCTCCTGGACATATTACTGCTCAGCGAGCAGCAACCCAGCATGTAGCTCAGTAGGCGATGAAGGCGCGGTGGTGCCAAGAGATGTCTATATTGCTTAATCGGGCTAGTCCAACAAAAGTGTGGACGCCATGTTTACATTCCAGAGTACTAGTACTTGTAGCGCTACCTAGATAGACTGTCAAGGCCCGATCATATCATCAGTTCGCAGCTAGTTGTTCGACATTCATCCATTACGGTGGCCGACGGCGCTTTTCAAAGGAGTTGGGTTGACTGTGAGCCTGTGCAGGGAACAAAACACCAACATCTTTTGCCCTCCCCCTGGGTTTCCCAGTTCCAGATCCCACGCGCGGTTACTGCTGCGACTGGTCCTCGGTAGTTGGAAATCACCGTTCGACATGCCTAGCTGGCTTGCGAGCCGGACTGGCAGTTAGAAGGTTCGTTGCTTCATAGCATAAGTGAAGATTTGAGTGGGAATGTGTTGCCGCTGATAGCCAAGCCGTGAAGCTGCGAAAGTGTACAGATGGGACACGACAGTAAGAGTAACGAATAGCTCTCGGCCCCGGTCACGGAACTCTACTAGCCAAAGGTCATCAAAAACACACCAGGTAGATCACAACTTTTAAGAACGGATTTGTGTAATATTGGTCTGCGAACGGACAAACATGATGGTCGATGTCTTCCGAATACCACAGCTCCCACAAAAGAAATGAAGAAATGTGCGATGGAGAGACTGCATGATATACACTCATTCTCGCACGTCTGTACTTGATGCCATGCTAGGACAACGACTCTCGAAGTTTCCCTCCTGGGACTTTCCCATTAAATTGTCGGACTCTCCTTGCTTGCGACTAAGATAAGCCAGTGGCCCGTCGAGCATGTCAGCCACATCAATCCCTTGTTGAGATCCAAAGGCCGCGAAAGCCAGAGAGGAATCAAAGTCATGGAATACTGAGGATGATGAACCGTTACATCTGCGGTCGCGTATGGCGGAGTCAGAAGTGTGTAAGTGGGGGGAAAGTTCTTTCCAGGGACCGGCCTGGGAGACAGTTGCTTGCCCTTCAGGTGTTGCAAACAGCTCTTGCGTATGTCCTTTCTCTTCGGATCACGGTGTCCGTCCTTCGACACAATAACTTGTGCTGGTCACCCGCTGACCAGAGTGAGCCTCGTGAGTCCCACGGTATGGAATCCTTTCCTGCGCAGCATAGTAAGACGTCGAATCTCTCGTCACAGCGGTATATTCGAGGAGATGTAGTAGAAGAAGGTACAGCAATGATGTCGACAAGGGTGTTGTGTCGGTGCAGATGGATTGTCGGACGCGTACATAAAAGAACAGAGCCGACCGCAGGGCTGCGAAGGACTCTGAAATGTGATTGTAAAAGAATATTTTTTTTGTGTGTGTGTGTGTGAGAGAGAGAGAGAGAGAGAGAGCTTCTGCCAGCTTAGGAGGTTGGAGGGGTGTTGATCACAGGGTGAGGGCTGGTGAGGCTGCGCCTTGGAGATTGGAGATTTTAATCCACGCTTCAAGCCATCTGGATCTCGTTCTGGGTATTTGAGCCTTCTCTGGAAGATCATGGCCTCAAGCGTATTGGCCTCAATGTGGAAGATGGAAGATTCGTTCTTTTGCAAGAGGGAGTCCAACGACTCCGACACCGACTCACAGACTTTGGCACTCCTTTCACTGCGCCAGGCCTTCTTCGACGATTACACCGTAGAAGGTGAGCTCTGCTGCTGCTCGCCGTCAACCCGGAAATCCGTGTGAGCAAGACGCTGTCATCTCCTGCCCTTTGGCATGGGCCAACCGTCCGCTTCTCTTCGCAACCTCGCCATCAACCCTCGACTTCAACACCAACAACAACAACAGCAGCAGCAACAGCAGCTATATGGCGGCTTACCACGACTTTGTAAACTTCCCTAGCTTCAAGCTTCAGCCATTCGACCCCCGCCAGGCGTAACTCGCGCCTCCTCCCATGGCAGCAGGAGGTGTTGCACCACCAGACGTCGTTCGAACGAGCATCCGTTCTTAGAACGCAGTCCGCGAGTTGAGAGACAACTTCGGGCCTCTGTCCACATTCCACGTCCGAGTTAATGAGAGCGGGGAGGGTTTCTGTAAGTGATGGCAATTAATAATAAAAAAGTATCGTGATGCTTGCCTAACTATTAGCAAGTTGCAGAATGCCGGGGAGTGGAAACCGCCGGGTGGACCAGAGGGCCACTCCCGTCGTCGTCTAATGTACAAGGAAAGACGCGACTGGCTACAAACGCGTGATATGAAGCAATCTACCGAGTAAGCAAATCGCGCTAAGACTGAGCCGAGGTTGAGCTAGGTCTCTCGATGTCTGAGTGCATAAAGCGGCAAATCCACGACAAGTCAATGAATTTACCTAGGTACTCTAGCCACAATGTAGAGCATGGACTTCTACTAATAAAGCTAGCCCTTCGCAAATCCCAGTTCAGGCGCAACGAACCAACCTGCCAACGCAAGGTTGTTGCAAGGTTGTCGCGTCTAGAAATTTATATCGAAACTTGCTCTCCTCTTAACGTGTCCGTCCAGAGACGTCGACCTCCTGCTGCGATTCGTGCCTCTCGTCAAAGTTCGAGCAATCGATAGGGTCGGCGTCGCTAGCAACGCTCGCGCCTCGTCCTCCTCTTGCTCCTCTTCATCAAAATTTTCCTCGTCGCTCGAACCCGGAGCGTAGACAGCTGCCTCGTCTTTGTCAAGGTCCTCTTGCTTTTGCAGGCGGGGCAGGCGAGCGGGCCAAATGAGCAAGCAGGACAATATAGAAAAGACTATCCCTGTGAAAAATGTCGCCCTCAGGCTCAACGCATACGCATCAATGACCTGTTTCTTGTGCACCGGGTCCAAATCTCGGATTGAGCGGATCGATTCTCTGACCGTACGGATGATATGTTCCTTGGTCGCCGTGTTGGGTGCCGTGACGTATTTGTTCAAGTATATAGGCAGCGCATTTTGCAACACCCAGCTGCTCAGGGCCACACCCATGATTGAGCCGAGATTGCGGATCAGACCAAGTGTGGTAGTAGCCACTGCTTGGTCCTCTTGAGAGTTTAGCGCTAGGACTGCAATAGTGCCTGCTGGGAAGAAGAAACCTTGGCCAATCTGGACAAAAGGAATGAGGTAAGGGACAAGCGAGGTTGGCGTGTCCGCTGACAAGCACATCACAGCCATAGCACCACCAAGTCCCATGATTGAACCCAGCACCATGGGCGGCCTCATCCGTCGTGTGAGAGTGATGTAGACTCCTGCTAAGAGGCCGGTGATGCTAGCACCGACTAAAGGAGGGACGAGGTAAAGGCCGGAAGTGGTGGGCGATGTTTGTCGGACTGCCTGGAGATATAAAGGAACATTGAACAGAATGGTATTGGTGAGCATCGAGGCCAGGAAATTGCTCCCAATCACATTCGCAACGGGGGTCGTAGAAAACAGCCTTAAAGGGAGAATAGGTCGCTCGGCTGTCCGCTCCACAAAGATCAGGGAGGTGCCTGCAATGCCAGAAACCACAAGGCTGCTGATGACAAAAGGGTGTGTCCATGTGAATACGTTGCCGCCCAGGTTCACTCCAAGAATGAGACCGGTGACCGTGGTAATCAGTCCAATCGTCCCATAAGTGTCGAAGCTTTTGAAGGCTTCGCGGAGGGTCTTCCCTTGTGTCTTTGCAAAATTTGGACCGAGGTTATCTGGGCAAGAAAAAATGGCAAGAACACCGTAAACGACGATGAAAGGTAGCTGTAGGAAGAAAGCAGCGCGCCAGCCGAAATAGTCGCAAAGAAACCCCCCTAGGGCGGCACCCAGCCCATTGCCTGCTCCATATGCCTGAATGTGCCGTAATGTTAGCAGAGAAGGAGATCATGTTTCGAGGGCACAGACTGGAGGGTATAAGAGCGGCCGGGTGAGGGCTGCGCACCGAGCAGAGAAAACGTACCAAATTGAAATAACTTTGATAGATGCCCCTGTACTCGATTTTGACAATGTCACTCGTCAAGATCCCACCCAGAGCAACCATACCTCCGGCGCCCAATCCACTTACTGCTCTGGCGGCGATAAAACTGCCAATGCTGCCAGCCGCGCCACACCATACGGTGCTAGCGAAGAACATGACGATCGCAAACAGCAACGCTGGCCGTCGACCGATAGTGTCGGAAACGCGGCCGTAGATAGGCTGGAACACTGTCGAGGTCAAATAAAACACAGTACTCAGCCAGGAAGCAGCGTTCGACGCTTCGAAGTAGGAAGTAATGACGGGGTGAGAAGATGCCATTAAGGTGGTGTCAAAGAACGCAATGGAGCAGCCAAAGATTATGCTCCAGAACAGAAAATGAAAGCGAGGGCCCGAGATACAGTCCCGATGGTGAACATCTGAGCGGTTCCTATGATTCCGCTTGGGAAGCAAACTGGTGGTTTCGGTCGGCTGAGGACCAGTCTGCTCTTCGACGCCGGCTGCAATATATGGCGCCGGCGTTGCCACCGGGTTGATTGAGGGTCTGTTGTCGTCCCTCTTCATGGTCGGCGTGATTTTTGCCAGCCAAGTCTTCTAGAGTCAACTCTGCAGTGGTGAGTGCAGACGCCAGGCAAGGACTGGGGACCGTATTTAACCATTTTGCTGCCAGGTCACACGTCATACAGTCATAAAGAAGCCTCAAACACCAGCAAGCAGGTGCGGCCCTGGTGGCCACAATTGATCCTTCCAGCTGAGGGGCAACAACAGCGCGCCAGCCGCATGAGGGTTACCATGTGGCGGGATATAGGGCTGGAAATAATAACATGCTGACCATGCCCCATCTGGTATCCAGCCGGGATGACTGTGCAAATGGCTCAGGGTCTTGAAATACCATAATCAACAGTGTAGTTTCGCAGAGAGCCTGCTGATGTTCTGATCTCAGAAGTACAAAGCCCCTGTGACTGTTCCAAGACGGTGGTTGCGAATGGTAACGGCTGACCACCAGATTTGCAGATCCGCTGGGGAGACCAAACGTTTCCAAAGTACGGAGTGCTGGGGCAGAAAATCGTCCTGCGGCACGCCTCAACTGCCCCTTGCATTCCAGGCGATAACCGAGATTGACATACAGCCAATAACAAAATGGGTGCATCTCAGTAATCAGAGGACGCCAAAGATAGAGAGGATGGAGAAGAGCGATGCGAGGAAGCGGGAGGCGGGGAGGCGATGTCGACTTCAAATGACGGCACCGACTGCTATGTCCGCGAATTAGATAATGGAAATGCTAGTTACGCCCTTCCAGTGGCGCCCCGGCGGCGTCAATGGCGGCGGTAAAACACGTTCCAGCTTTGACTTCTTCGTTTGAGATATAATCTCGAGACCTGGGCCCTCACCGTGTTCCGGGTGAGGAGGAGAGGAAAATGAATCTGAAACTCCCTCGAGCCCTGCGCATCGCCATCCTTGAGTGCGATACTCCGCTCCCGGAGACTAAGAAGAGATTTCATGGTTATGGCGGTGTGTTTGAGTTCTTGCTCCGGTCAGGGGCCAGAGCCTTGGGTCGAGCCGACTTGGATCCCGACAATAGCCTCGAGTTCTCCTTCTGGCAGGTTGAGTTGAACCCGGACCAGTATCCCGATCCCGATGAGGTTGACGCCATTTTGATTACGGGTTCCAGTAAGTGTCATGGTCATCTTTGTGTTGTTGCGGTGGCCCCCTGTGAGAAGGGGACAGGATGTAGGCAGTGGGACGAAGAATCGAACGTCATGTTCTTTCTTGCCCGTAGCATGGTCGACATGCTGATGGTTGAGGAGCGATCGGCGCTGATGTGGGAGCATCAATCCAGGACACGACTCCTTCGCCGACACGCCCTGGATCAACAAGCTGGTCGACTATACAGCGAAGATCCTGTCCGAAACGAGTGTCCGTGTCATCGGCGTGTGCTTCGGCCACCAGATCGTGGGGCGGGCATTGAAAGCTGATGTTGGGCGGAATCCCGAGGGCTGGGAGGCAGCTGTGAATGATGTCCAGCTGTCCGAGAAGGGCAAGGAAGTGTTTGGTGTTGACAAGATTGTATGTTGTGTAACCTGCGCTACCTGCGCTAAATCCTGCGCAACATCACCACATCCCTCTGACAAGATTGCTGGATAGCGTCTCCACCAAATGCACCGCGACTGTGTCTTCTACTATCCAGAAGGCGTAGAGGCGCTCGGCTCCTCTCCTGTCTGCAAGGTCCAAGCCATGTATTCGCCAAAGCGACTCCTGACCGTGCAGGGCCACCCCGAGTTCAACCAGGAAATCATGACCGAAATCATCAACACGCGACATGCTACAGGTATTTTCGATGACAAGGCATATAAGGAACATATGAAGAAAGTCGATCTGCCGCATGATGGGTTGATTGTTAGTCAAGCATTTCTGAAGTTCTTGTTGGAGTAGCAGAGATGGAGCGTATCAGGGTTGGATTGGTTTCACTCCTTGGTCTATAGAAATAGACTGTCCTTGGCCGTGAGTGTGCTTATTTCCAGCTATAAACACACTCACAACGAAGCCCCGTATCTATACATGCGTGTTTTCTCGCGAGTCTCCGATTCCTCCGTCTATGCAAGGCATGCACTACGGAAGCCTCAAGGGACCATCCTGTCAGCATCCGCCGCGCCAGCAGGTATCCTGCCCTCCGCGAGATCTCTCTCGATTCTTTCAATCTCCTGAAAACTTTTGGCATTCTGAATCATCATTTCCACTCTCTTCTTCTCGGACTCGGTCAACCGCGTGCGGACCCCCTTTTGAGTAGCTGCGACCTTGCCGTTGACCCCGGTTGTCGAAACGTCAAATGTCCGGCTCTTTAGTCCCTTGATCTTCGTAGCCAGTTCGGTGGGCGCTTCCGCAGTGCCAAATAGCTCGTTGGCCCTCTCACGTTCCGCTTGGCGCACCTTCTGGAAGTCGAGGAATCGCAGCGAGGGAATCGCCCAGATAAGGTAAAGCCTGTAATGCTGCAGAATCGAGTCAATATGAGGGTTTCAAGCCTTTGGATTCATGGTCCAGCCTCACCTCTTTCTTGGTGACCGGATTCTCCAACAAACTCAGGTGAGTTAACGCTCCGCAGCCGGTCAAACCCTCCAGATCAGCGAGCTCCTTGACATGATTTGACGTCAAGACGAGGGTTGTCAGATTGGGTATTTGTTCTGCTATTCTCTTGTCCACGTTTTGTATTCGATTTCGCGCACAGAGCAGGGTATTCAATCTAGGAGACAGGGGAAAATTGGAGATGGTGGTGATGTCGTTGTCGGTAAAGTCGATTGCGTCTTGCGGGCCTGCAACGCCCAAGTTCTCGATGGTGGGGATTTTATGGCCTATACGGTTTGCACAAAGAAAGGCGCGTGTGGTCAACTATGCTCTTGCCAGTTCGGAGAAATCAAAGTGTAGCATCTGCTCTTCTCAGACATACCTCGGAGGTCGAGTTCACGCTCTTTGAGAGGGTTCAAGTAGGACAGGGAATTATGGATGAGGTCCGCTGTGAGCCTCATTGCTGTGGCAGCTGTAGTGCTTCGGGCTGGTTCTGTCAACTGCAAGAGTCGCCGCAGGTTGGACGTGCTGTGAGATGTCAAGATTTTTGCGACTGACTTGTGATTGGCCAGGGAACTACCTCAGCCTCGTCGATGCCCACGAGGCTGAAAATTGCCAGCCTCGGCCCTAAACAAGGCTGTGGGTAAGGCTGAAACATCAGCACCACCTTAATCTACCAACTACGCAGGTATTATGGCGGTAGCCAGATTGGTTTTATGAAGACCTGTGTTCATTTTATATGGACTACTGCGGACACTAGATCAGGGCCCACATGATTTCCAAGGAGGACCCCTAAAAGGAATGAAAAGTTAGCTTGCGGAAGGGGAAGTGTGTTCGCAGTGCACTCTCATTTGAAATGAAAGCACCGCGACCGATGGCCTCATTAATGTCTGTTTCACTCCATGAATCGGTTGACTTCTGTCATCTTACGCTCTTCCCAGGTGTGGCTTTCTGCTACAAGTAAAGTCTCTCCTTCTGAAGAGGGAACATCGAAATTGACTTGTCCGAGCTGAACGCAATTCTCCCGAACGGGGCTTCGGGCTGAATATCTTGAAGTCGAATCCAATAATCTTTAAGCAGTCTTCCCCTTTCATCGCCTTCGAGTACGCTTGCAGCGCTCTCGGTGTTTATAAATGGAGAGTCCCTGGTAAGGGTTGAAACATTTCCAAGGACTTCCGGGACCTGTAACCAAAATCGCACTGCGATAGTGACAATCGCGCAGGCACAAAGCACAACGACGGCAGCAAGGTATGGCACGAGCCAACCAATGTGGAGCCGGTATACCTGCGGCGTCACGTATCGCCAACTCGCACTAGTCTTGGTCATGATCGATTTGTCCTGGTATGTATTGTCGATGCTTCCGCCAGTGATGATTGGAGGGGCTATTGTCGATCGCAAGAAGGTGTTGAAAACCAAGGCTAGTCTCTTTTCGAAGACCTCAATAGGGATTTCATGCATCGTAACAGCATATTCAAGGAGTGCTTCACTGGTGAAAGCCGTGGTGGGATCATACATAAAGACTTCTTGAGGAGTGGATGTTGTAACATGTTGACTTCCGAAGATGAGCGAAATGGCGTCTAGTTTGAGATACATTTCGGAGGGAACGTAGTCAAACTCGGTCAAATTGGAGGATATGTGCGGCAGCTGCGACGCCCGAACCGCTGTTGCCACACATGCCAATTGGCCATTGTCGGTGTGTCGGGAGCAGCTGATTTCAACTTCGAGATATTGCATCGTGAGATTGCAAACCGTCAAAGAATCAGTTATATCTTGTTCCGGTGTTGAACCATAACCCCGAGATCCAAAAAGGATTTGCCTGGCATCTGCGGACGAAGCGGTATCGTTATCCTGAAATATCTGTGACCGATCTGAGTTCATCTCCGGAGTGGCGAAAAAGAACCCCGTAGATATCATAGAGAATGGACTTTCGGATGCATTGTATAACTGATACGTGGGCCCAAACTGCTGGAACCAAGCCGTTTCGTTGGCTCCGGAGAGGATAATCCAATCAGAGCACTATCATGACATAAATGAGTCAGTCTTCGACTAGTTGATAGTCTAGCGGGGGAATCATACATGTAACACATGATAGTTGGTTTCTAGCGTGAAGCTCAGATTTCCCACTCCCCTGGAAGGGAGTTGCCGAAGGGGAACTCCGATGATGGACTCATATGGGGGAATTTCATCCGTAGGCACTTCAATCCATCTTTGGGGGTCGGCTGGATTAAAGGCTGGAAGCAGGTGGAGCGCTGGGATTCGAACATTTCCCCAGGAGTCTGTTGTTGACCTTGTAATCGCTGAATCAATGCCTCCAAGCTGTGCGACAATGTTGGCAAAGCTAGAGCCGGAACTCGTGCCATTGGAGTACTGCAGGGCTGCATCGGGCGAGAACAACGCTGCTCCGAATAATGTCGAAACCAGTGGACGATACATGGTGTATGACGATGCACCCTGAAATGCCTCGTACCACGGAGTTACTCGAGGATCAGATACCATATATTTGATGTCCACATTCTCCTCGGCGAAGGTTGGTTCCAAAGTGATAGCACGAAGAACTGCTTGGCCCCCAACCGGATTGAGGCTCCACAGAAGAAAGAGACAGAGTGTTGAAAGGCCAAATAAGCGCAATATATAAGCAGATTTCATGGCACCAAACACCGTCTGGCTGCCGAGCAGTTGCTCAAGCACCTGCAACTGAATGTCAGTTCAAGCCTCGCGCATTGGAGTGCCTCATATCACGTACGCCTATGGTGGTACCATGCTGAGCCCTCTCATGGGCCTTGGCCTTGAGCATGCTGCCTACCACGGCGGCAAATACCAAGGGCCAGATTGTGGGTGCTACTTTTGTGGCCTGGATAACTTCCGCTGCCCATAGCGTCTGTGGTTTATTCCTCATATGAATGATGAACCCACCGAGAACTTGTGGAGAATAAGCTTTGCATTTCTCTAAGCAGGACCAAGAGAGCCAAATACGGCTTCGGACTAACCTGCGAATAAAAGTGACACAAGCAGGAGGCAAATGTCCAATATAACTCTTGAAAAGCGGTGGCCAAAGGAAAGCTTAAGCTGCAACGGTGCCTGAGGCCATCCTGGAGCAGAGGAAGGCGTGTATGTTTGAGATGTTGCTGATGCAATATAGGCTCTTCGACCTTGCATTTATCAGCCACCTTCTTTTGAAATCTAGAATTAATTAACACCTTTGACCTTGGAATTCCGCTTTGACGTGTCTGGCTGCTCAGAGCATTGAGTGGTTGGTGATGACATGTCGCTTGCCACTGTATGCTGAGAGACGTACTGGAAGGTAGGCAGTTTAAAGTGCGGGGGTTCCTTCCTTATGTGTTGCTAGAATGGAGACTATCTAGAACAGCAGGGCGGTCCATGCTAGTCGCCCCTGCGTGTATATAAATATGTCCTCTTCAAAGGCCGACCAAAAGGTGGTGAGATTTCGGGCTCTCATTTTTCGCAGCCGAGTGCCCTATTACGCGGTGCTCTGCATCAGCAGTGTTAATATCACTGAGGACCTCCCTGCAAGCTCGACCCTCTCTCGATGCACCAGCAGCAATTGAGAGATGTGGTCATTTGCGTTAGTCAGCTGATACCGGTGTGAAGATACAGAATTCCTTGGCTCATCCCTGCATGAGTGCATAAAGAGCATGCCAAGATGAGATGGCATGAATCAATCGAGGCTTGGAAGGCATTTTCAAACCTGTGGAGTTGATCTAATCGCCACAGAGTGAGAGAGAAACTGTTTGGTGAGATTCATGAAATGCCTCGCGTGATAGTTGGCGAATGCGTTGCTCCAGTTTGTGTCGTCTGATCAAGACAGGAGAGCGATGGGCTGTAGAATTGCAATACGAGGTTTCTGCATTGTGGTTGCTACGCTAATGTAGGCGTGGTACAATCAGTCAGGCTGGGGTCATCAGCTAGCCCAAATAAATTCCTCGATCAGGATGTCAGGGTACCAGCATCCTGCCCAGAAGCGGTACGGACAACTCTCTATTTGGAAGCTGTTTCCCAGTCCAGTTGAAATGAGGTTGGCGGAAAGCCCAGGCGAGAAGCGGCCTCGGCAGAGAATTTAGTGACCGGTTGCTTCCGACGGGGACGGTGACCCGCTTCGGCCTCGTACGCACTCATCTTAGGTATGTACCAACCAATCAAGCGGAATATCGATGGCCCTACTGTAGAGTATGGCGCCGTCGAACAATAATATACTGAAACAGCCTGTTAGCCTTGAAGAATGTAGACTTGGAGATATCTGGCGGTACCTGGTATTTTGAAAGTTGGCACCAGGTTTCGACAAGGCTGAGCAGGCCAAGGGGTCAACAGAGCGAGGGACCGAGGGCTTATTTGTCTTGGCACGCCTTGACCCCGCAGAAACCGTTCTCTGCATAAAGGGAAGAGAAGCACGTATTCTCGAACACTATCAGGCTCTCTATCGCTTGGTTGTCTTGCAATTTTGTCGCGCAAAATAGAACATCTAGTCTGTTCTTCCGGCAAACGCCTTTCAACAATGGCCTCCGAACACACACCAACGACGGAGCAGGAGCGAGCAGCTTACCTCCAGGAGGCACAGACAAAAGCTGTCAAGCTGTTTGAAGAGATCGAGCAATCCATAGTTCGGCCCGGCGTCAGTGAGAAGCAACTAAGCGATGAGATCCATGAACTTGGCGCTAAACGTTACGACGTCAAAACCCACTGGCACAAGCGGGTTATCAGAAGTGGCCCTAACACCTTGTTCCCATATGCCGAAAACCCCCCGGACCGCATCATTCAACCCGACGACATCGTCTTCGTTGACCTAGGACCAGTATTTGAGGCATGGGAAGCAGATTTTGGTCGGACATTTGTACTTGGAGGTGATCCGATCAAGACAAAGCTGCGCGACGCGCTAGAGCCCTTGTGGCAGCAGGTAAAGTCGCGGTTCCAGGACAGTCCGGATATGACAGGCGAGGAACTCTACAAGATCGCCTGCGATTTAGCTAAGGAAGCTGGGTGGGAGTTCGGCGGTTCGCACGCAGGGCACCTTGTCGGTCAATTCCCGCACGAGCGAATCCCCGGAGATAAAGTCGAATACTATATAACCAAGGGCAGCCAGAAGCCGATGAGGCGCGCAGGCAAGGACGGACAGCTGCTGCATTGGATCCTAGAAATCCATCTTATAGATCGCGACCGCCAAATCGGCGGATTTTATGAGCAGCTCCTAACGGTTGACTAAGACGTCTCGATTCCTGGTTCGCACTTTGCGGATGTAATCTGCGTACAGAGACAGCGAGAAGTGGCTATTCACTTAAGAAGGATGTTACCTCCAGGACTGAGAGACGTCAAGAATCGCTCCCATCACACTCTTTCCTTAGCAAGCACCGTCATTTCGACAGCACCTCCTAATGAATGTTTGCCTTTTCAACCGCGGAGGGTCCGTGCAAGCTGGGTATGATGTCGAGGGTTGCTTGAAGTCAAAGCTATGAGTAAGATCGCAGGCAACTAGCTGAGAAATCTATTAGGCAGTGATGGGATTGATTGCCACTTTCCGCCCTCACTTGATACTGGTTTTCGAGCACGATTTAAACCTTCAAATGCTGGATGCTATTCAACTATGGCTTGCTCCTTCGGCAAGTGACCGCTGCGCCTCGGTATGCACACTTGGACCTTCTCCAGCAAACTCGCCCGCAGTAGTACCCCTTGTACCTTCACCTTCGTCTGAGGAGCCGAGTCCACTTAGAGCATCAGATGTTCTTACTGTTTCGCTTGATGACTTCTCAGGATTGGAGGTCTAGGGATGGGCATAGCGTTAGCGGAGCTGTTTGCCGATAAAAAAAAAATAGCCATTTATGAACCCGAGTCAGTCCAAGTCGGCCGATTCGTCTGTTACACCAACCTGAGAGCTAGCTAGTCGAGTTATTCCAACAATGCCCAGTGAAGAAACCGAAGACTTAATGACCCAAGAGTCTCGAGGGAGGACTTACCTGACTTTGGCTTCCCTGATATCCTCTATCTACGCTCGAGCTGCCCAGGTATCGGTTAAGGACGATGTTACTGATTGAACCTAACGAACTTTGGCCCGGCGGATTCTCTTTAGAGCCAGCGCCTTGCTGGCCAGATAGGGTCGACATCGTTAATCAGGAATTAAAAAACGATGAAGTCAGATTGTATTGTTGTGTCAGCAGAACCGTCGATGAAGGAGTACGAATAACAGTGTGTACAATGCAAATCTAGAGATTGGGATCGATCATTAAGGAGATCGAGGCCCACGGCCAAAGGCTACGTCAGACTTTCTCCTATCGTCAATCACTGCCCATGAGGTTTGATGGATCGACAAGGGTTTCGGGCTTCAGCTCCGATGCCAGGCGGATCGCAAATCTGTATTGAACCAGTATGTGGAACAGGTCATTTTGATTTAAAGCATTGGAAGAGAGAATGTTCGTACCATTCCCTTCAGTGGCTTTCATGATCGTTACGATGACTTTCCCTTCGGTGCCTAACTCTGAGACCCTGAAAAGGCCTTCTCAAAACCTGATATATTTTTCTGACAGATTATCTGTCATCATTAAGGCTGTGAGCATACTTTTAGTCTAGAAATTAAAGATTCAGCATTCGAAAGAGTTGGGAGATGGTAGGAATAGGAGAACACGGGGGCAAGGGAGGGCAAGGCTGTACAGGGCAAGGCTGCAAGGGTCAGGCTTGGGAAGACCAGTGGCATGCTGCTTATGTAAGAAAGTCTGGGGTCTGTGGGGCTCCGGGTCTCGGCTCAACAAACCAGTTGGTTGAACGACCTTGGCTGCTCCTCGGTGACTGCTCGGGTTTGGGAGTTTCGATCATCCTTCAACTAACTGATCTGCAGTATATTCATGCGGGCTACAGTGTGCAGTCTTTCATATTGCCTGTCTCATCAATGACCGAGCTCGTCCGGGCTGAGGGCGAGCCCGCCTCGCGAGATGACTCTACCGATCGCAGTATCCTCACGCGCATGAAGCGTTTCCGCACCAACCCTTTCTCCTTTGCGCATGAAATCTCACTTTTCATCCGAGGCATTGGATGGCGAGCTTACGACAATCCCATCGGGCAGCCAGTTTTCTACCCGGGTTACACATCTAATGTCAAAACTGCGGTGATGGCTTCTCCGCTTTTGCGGCGAAAGATCGTCGAGCTGACCGAGGAACGCTTGAAAGTTGAAGAGAAGGAATATCTTTTGGACACCACCAGACCGACATATCTGCCAGAGAGGGAAAAACGAAGACATGAAATCACATCGCAACTGGTTGAGATCACGGCCGACATGCTGGATAAAATGGTTTGCAAAATGGAAAGCAAGATCTACATTCGAGCTGCTTTTTATGGAGTCACGCAGTTGCTCACCAGAGCCTACAGTGCAATCCACGTCTCGGAAGCGGAGGTCAGAAGGCTCCGAGAAGTCGCAACGTTGGCGGCCAAAAAGAAGCAATCCATCATATTTCTACCGCGACATACGAGCCATCTGGACTATGTCACTCTTCACCTTGTGTGCTATCGCCTTGGCCTGACTCTACCTGTCGTTGTGGCTGGCGACAACCTAAACTTTCCGCTCGTCGGTAGTTTTCTGCAGAGCAATGGGGCAATGTGGATCAGGCGAAGTTTCGGAAATGACCAGCTCTATACGACACTCGTACAGGCCTATCTGGATACTCTGCTCCAAAAGGGTCTCAATCTGGAGTGTTTCATCGAAGGCGGAAGAAGTCGCACGGGAAAGCTATTAGGACCTCGCTTCGGCTTCCTCAGGTTCCTTCTCGACTCCGTACTTTCGGGTCGCACGGAAGACGCTTATATTTGCCCGGTGTCCTTGCAATACGACAAAGTGATAGAAGTTGACTCATACGTCAATGAACTCTTGGGAAACCCCAAACAGAAGGAAAATCTTGCTGACTTTATCTCGGCGTCGTCTGTTCTGTCACTCAACCTCGGTCGAATCGACTGCAGATTTCACGAACCTTGGAGCTTGAAAGAGTTTATCAAGGAACAGCAAGCCCGTCAAGCTCCAACCACTCTCGCCGCAGGCCCCTCAAGTTCGAATAGCAGAATTCGGCTGCTGCGGACCCTTGGATACAGAGTCCTCTCTGACATTAATTCAGCTTCAGTGATCATGCCAACGGCACTTATTGGGACTGTGCTCTTGACAATACGTGGGCGTGGGGTGGGTAAGTCTGAGCTAATTCGCCGAGTTGATTGGCTTTGCAGACGTATAAGGGCAAACGGGGGCAAAGTGGCAGATTTTAGAGGGATGCCTACCTCATATGTCGTGGAGCGAGCCCTGGACGTCCTTGGGCCGAAGCTCGTCGGTACTGTCGATGGCCTTGCAGAGGAAACTTATTATGCTGTTGACCGCTTTCAACTGTCATTCTACAGGAATATGACGATTCATCTTTTCATCTCAGAAGCGCTGATCGCGGCTGCCCTATACACCAAGGTCAAACAGGGCGGAGGAAGCGCGAATCAACGCATGACCGAAGTTGAGTTGATTGATAAAGTTACTTTCTTGTCCCAGCTGTTCAGAGGTGAATTCATCTTCCCGGCTGGCCAAGGCTTGCGACATAACTTGGAACAGGCGATGCAAGGGTTGGTACGAGATGATGTCCTCAAGGTTACAGAAGACACTGAAAGAATGGTCGGTATATCCAATGCTGAGCGGAAATCAGGCAGAGAGAATTACGACTTGTATTGTTTCCTCGTTTGGCCGTTTGTGGATGCTGCCTGGCTGGGAGCCGTCTCCTTGTTGGTGTTGGTACCTCCGGCGGGCACTTCCGCGGGCTGGGTCGATATGCAAAAGGCTCAGAATATGGCTCAGCTTGCTGGTCGCACCCTGTACCACCAGGGAGACTTGTCTTACTTTGAAGCAGTCAACAAGGAAGCCCTCAAAAACGCCTACACGCGGTTTCAGGAAGAAGGGATCATTGACGTAGCGAAGGGTTCGGAGTCGAAGGCAAAGCCTACGGTGCGGCTTGCTCTCGAGTGGACGCCCGAAAGAGACTCCACGACAGGCGAACTAAGGGCATCTGGCCGCCTATGGGATTTCATTGAGAAGATCGCGCAATTCCGACGGGAAGGGAAAAACAGGCGCGATGGAGCAGCTGTCTCCACACGCGTGCTTTCACTGGCGGCGAGGCTCAACCAGCAAATGTTTGCAGACGACGCAATGTCCCTACCGACTGGCGATCAAAAGGCTGTCAAGGAGCGCAGGAGGCCTTCAAAATTATGAGTCCCATTCCGCAAGATGCTCCCGTGCGGTTCGGCCTGTCGATCTTCAAAATGTCCGCTGCTGAGGATAAAGCAAATTTGCAAGAGCAATTACATACTCACGAAATTTGTCACACAACTTCGCATTCCGGGCTGGAATAGGTGTGAAAACCCTGTTTCTTGCCTCGGGCAATTCGAGCAGGACTCTTCACTGACAATATATCCTGGATACTCGTTGCCAGACAGTCTTTCACCACCAAGCACGTTCCCCCTTCTGGTCGAGGCTGAGTAAAAGGACCCGTTGGATGAAGCAGAGAGTTGATGCGCTGGAGGTAATGATGCGACTTGACATGTGCTGGCAATCTGACTAGCTAACATTCGTGTACAGAATAGGGAAGATGTTTGAATCGAACCAGTGACTCATAACCGCCGCCATCTCAAAGTTAACTGCGCCGCACCGCGCTGTACCCTGATATGGTTATCCCGTAGGACATTGGTGATGAGACAGCCGCATTCTTCTCGACCGGCCGAGACCCTTCATCGAGAAAAGTCAATCGCCTTTGAAACCACAGCGCTCCCAGCTCGGCTTCCAACAAACAGCGATGGGGTTCTGCCATGCACTCAACCCGGTTTCGGATGCCTCGTACATTTCTTGAGGCGAAAGTCGAAAGGTTTCTAGGGCTGGAATTCCTTCGTTCTTTAGCATGAAGGATAATCCCCGAGCCACTCTTCAACAAATATGACTGGCCATCTTCGTAGCTGTCTCGAATGTATCTAACAAGGACACCGAACGTCATCGAAATTGCGTCGTTACGAAGCATGTTCAGAGTTATCATGCTAAGTCCTGGTTTTGATGGTCCAGGTATTGCGGGCGGCTTTGTCCGGTGTATTCACAAACATCCACGCGGAACAATGGGCATTGGATGCTCCTTCGGACCTAGAAAGCGTCGCATATTTGCCGTCTCGCTTCAGCCTGATCAGAACCTTCGATCGCCCTATGAGCTTTGTGTACATGCCCAGTTCATCAACAAACGCAGTATCCTTCGTCTGGTGACTTATCGATCTATCCGGGTTTCTCTCTAACATAGTTTCCCTTCCCTTCCCTCCCAGCCGCCGTCGCTCTCGATGTGTCAGTCGAACACCTTGCATGACGACATTCAGTCGGCAGCGGAAGCCTGATTGTCCTCTTCGTTCTTTCAGGATCTCTCGTCGACGGAGTTGGCAGCCACTTCCCTTACCCCCTATCCCCTGTCACGGGATACAGCCTGCTTAAACCATACCTTATCTGCCTCAGCCAGGACCCTCAGCGCTTGGCGCTGTCTACCGAGCTCCGAGTCGTCTCCCGACACAGCTACTCCTTCAAGAACCTATGAGGGACCCCACCTGGCTGAGTCAGAATACGACGGGATTTCTCGTGCCGTGGACCGCCTTAAGCATGAAGGCGGCACTTAAGAGTTAGCTGCCACCGTTACAAGGAGAAAACCCATTTTAATGCACTCCAAAGAAGTCATTCCAGCCGGGAACTAGATAACCACTGCAGAATATGAGGGGAGGCATCGCAGAACATAAGGGAACCTTCACATTGCCCAAGGCCGCGGCAGGAAGTGGCAGACTATTTTCCGGCTTAAATCCGCGAGGAAAAAGAAGGTCACCGCAGAAGGACAGTCATCTTTGTGATTCCCTTGTCTGTCGAGCTCGGACTTTCTAGCAATGATGAGGCTATGCCGAAACAGACTTTATCAGAGATGAGAAATCGTGAAGGCCTGACGGAAAGCGGTGCCAAGCCAACGCATTGAGGGCCGGCGAACACCAATGGAACTGACGATGAAAGAGGAGTATAGCTGTGGAGTTGGCGTCTATGACACATATGACTCCACTGGGATATGTAGTTAGTGTGTTCAGATTG